CGAGGCCATCCTGGTCTACAAAGTGATTCCAGGACAGCCAGGGCTATTACACTGAGAAACCAACCCTGTCTCAGAAAACAAACAAAAGGCAAAAAAGAGACTATATAGCTCAATGGGAGAGCATGTGGTTGGATATGTTCAAGGCCATGAGTTTAATCCCCAGTATCACAGATCAAATGACAAACTAAGTGTGAAGCAATGACTACAGGAGAAATATAGATGGGCCTCCTCCCATGCTCAAAACTACCTTGCAAGCTGCCCCTTCCCCAGAATGGCTAAAAAATATGATTCTGAAAGGACCCATAGATACCAGAAAAGCCTGCTTGGGAAATCTGCTGGGATCAGGGAACACAAGGCCTTTTAAAGGGCCAAAGAAGTAAGTTGATGGGCAGGGCCTAAAAGCACAAAAGATCAAGCACTCAGCAGGCTTGGGCACCTTTGTTTATATAGCCAGGAAGGACAATGGAGAAGCTGTCCTACCACGGTATGAAGGCAACCTCACCCAGACACCAAGAAAGCCTGGCCAGAGCTCTGGGGAGGCTGCCTTCAGAATGTCTGGAAGCTAAAGGGTAGGGTCAGCTCCCAAACAGTGAACATCTGAGGAGTTCCCAATCCTCAGACTGTTGCCAACCCTAGGCTGAGGATGACAAAAAGAACTACCCAGTCTGTGGGGAGCACTGGGCTAAGAAGAGGCTAACAGAGCTTATAGTGGGAGGACTCCCTGAGCACTTACTTAAAAAACTTCGAATGTGGGAATGAACACCCATCCCAGCAGACTCTCAGCCTAGGCAAGACAGGAGGACCTTCACTAAGTGATACCTGGCCAGACAAGGGGCCAATACCTTTAACTATCCTTCTTCCAGTGACCCAATATGACTGGTCACTCTGCTTCTTACCTATAAACATTGGCAGTGGTTCCTTCATACCACAGGGCCACCAGAGTGAACTGAAGGATGGTCCCTGCCACATGCCAAAGAACTCTGCACTGGAGGCAGGTAACTATGCTCAGGAGGCTCATGTGAACACCTAGGAGGCTGCTATGTCTCAGGTCAGCCCATCTGCATGATATCACAGTGAAAATTCACCTAGTCTTTATTATCCAACCCTCTGGTAAGCCCCAGCCCAGAACCTACCAGAGTAACCTTTTACCTAAGAAGGCTCTACTTCCAGGGCATGACCAAGGTTTGTTTGTGTATTTAAGATATTTTAAATTTTTATTTGTTTGTTTGATTGGTTTTAGTTTTTCAAAGCATGATTTTTCTGTGTAAACCTGGCTGTCCTAGAACTCACTCTGTAGACCAGGCTGGCCTCAAACTCAGAGATCCACAGACCTGCCTCTGCCTCCAGAGTACTAGGATTAAAGACTTGTACCTCCATGTTCAAACCAATTCATTTTATTTTTAATTGTGTGTGTGTGTGTGTGTGTTTCTAAACCTGAGTATGTGTGTCCATGAAAGCTGGAGCTGTCACATCCCCTAGACCAGGAGTTATAGGCAGTTGGCTGCCACCTGACATGGTGCTGGGAATAAACTGGAGTACTCTGGAAGAGCAGTATATCCTCTTAACTGCTAGGCCATTGTTCCAAACCTGTTTTTAAAAATATTTTATCTTAAAATGTTATCTACGTGTGTGTCCATGTGCAGATATGTGCACATGCATGCAGATAAAGTTATAAACAGTTGTGAACTGAACATGAGTCCTCTGCAAAAGCAGTAAATGTTCTTAACTACTAAGCCCCAAGACCAAAATTTTAACACACAGTTACAGGAAGAAAAGGACAGGCAATGGCTACATATCCAGTATGGGAAGATAAATGACAAGGGTCTTTGTATCCAAGCCTGCTTCTGAGAGGTAATGACACACAATCTGTCTACCCACAGTGGCAGTCGACAGCTAATGCTTCCAAAAGGCTGCTGGTTAGAAGCCCATGACTTGCTGGTACTAAGCAGCTAGCTAAGCTAGGGCAGCAGGTAAAAGATGGCTGGTTTACTAAACAGCACCCTATGCACACAACTCAAGAGCATGCCACATGCAGGCCTAGACCAAGCCCTGTGTGAGTAAGCCTGGGAGCTCACTCCAAGCCTCCCAGGTCCCATATGCCCACACTGACCAGAAGCAGAGCATCACATGGTAGCCACCAACTGCTGCATCCCTAAAGGTTCATCTCCTTTCCCCAAATGCCTTGACCAAGCAGGTCTCAGCAGCAGACCTAGCACACATGTCTCCTTGGCCCCTCAGGGCTCTCTCTGGGGGCTCTCACCCCAGCCCACAACCAAAGGCTGACCAGAAGGGAGATGCCACATCAGATTGGAACCTTCCTGACACTCTTGGTCCCCAGGCATGAGCAGTCCCATGGCTGCTGAACAATGCAGTTTTGAATTCAATTAAAGCGATTATCTGTTGTGCCAAATAAATTGTGTACAGCATATATCCTGCGGCACTTTACACCTCCGGGCTCATTATTCCCTAACTGTTTCCTCCTGTTTATGCGCTCTCAAATTAAATTGCTGATAATACGCGCCAAAATAAAAAATGAGCGCACCTTGTCCCAAGAAAATTGATTCTCCTTCTCCTGAACTGGCGATTGCCAGGTTTTATATACTTGGTTCCTGGTGATCATTAGTAATTCAATTTTCTTTTTATTAGCCCCCTTATCTGCTGAGCAATATAGTGGCAGCACTGACCTCTTTCGCACGGGTAAATGTTTAAAATCTTTTCCCTGATTAATTTTGCCAGTTAAGAAAAAGAGGAGAAATGGCCCGGCTCTTAGCCATCACAATGAATAAAGCTTAATGTTGATTGTGATGGAATTTCTAATGCCAGGGAAATTGATTGAACGCGGCAATTACGCTGCAAGAGTAACTCGAGGGAGATGGGATCGCTTTCTTCTGGCCGTAGCCTTTTGGTTATTTAAAACAATCCAATTTGCAAGGATAATTATGTATTAGTGTTTTATCTGCCACTTGAAATGAACAGGGGAGTTTCGATACTGGCCCAGCATTAGCAGGTTATTGCTGCAAATTACTTGATATCTGCTTTCTTTCACATAAAGAGGAAATTAGGCAATCAATTACCAGAAAAAGGTGGATGGAGAGATAAGAGGGGCAAGTGCGCCCTCTGCTGGCCGACGGGCCACACAGTAGGGCCGAGTAGGGACATGGAGGAGGGGCTCACCAGAGCAGCTGCACATTCCGTGGCACACAAAATTTACTGAACAATCAGGTCACTCCCTAAACACCAGGACACTGGCACCAAGAGGAAAATTTTGAACTACGACTACGCATCTTCCTGGAGGGAAGCAGTAAGAGAAGACCCTAAGTACTAGCTTAAGGGGCAGCAGTAAGAGAAGACCCTAAGTACTGGCTAGCTTAAGGGGCAGCCCCTATCCACTGACCCCAAGTACTGGGAGACTGACTGTAACAGCCACATGAGCCTGGGGGCTGCACCTGATTGGAAATGGAAAAGCTCCACTCAGCAATGTAGCAAGACCCCAGAGAATCAAACAGACTAGCCAGAGCCTTGAACATCATTCCAGCTGAGGTTCTTAGACACGCAAGGAAAAAGGCAGACAGTGAGCCTTGCTGCAGGGAACTGAGGAAGCCACAGCCAGTTCCTGGAGCATGCCAAATCCACCCAGGCTCCAACCCAGAGAAATGACCACTGTCACTCTCATCTTCTTAGCCAAAACTGGCCAGGCCCACCTCCTGTAGACAGCCCACCCTTGTGGTCTTTGCCTATCTGGAGTTGTGCAAATAGAAGTCTCTGGAACTGCTACCTTCCTGTTTCCACGGCCCATTTCCTGCTTAGATGACAGCCCTCCCTTGAGCTCACACACAGGCCTTGCATACTAGTCATCCTGATTCACTGTCTACTCCAGCCTGCTAGCCGAACCCTTGCACCTGATGTTCCTGAGAGCAGCAATACAAGCTGCTTCCTGGCTCCCTCTTCTATCCTGCCCTGAAATCACAACTTAGGCAGAACCTACTCCCTTTCCTTCCTGTGGCAGAAAAACAGCCTTCCCTAACACCTAGTGTCCTTTCCGCTGGGATAATCCCTTTTACTGATCCCATACAGCACATTGGCTATATGGCCTTCCTTCTGATCTGTGCTGCACCACTGCCTCCACCTGCGCAGCTGAGTGCTATTTCCTCTCCTCACTCAAGTCTCCTTAAGAAGTACTCCTAATGCCTGCCTAGTGTTTACACCCTCCCTGCAGCCTGTAACTGTACTCTTCTGCTTCTTGTTCTCAGGACACCTCAGGACAAAAGCCTATTGTCTAGGCTGTTTACAAAGGCTCATGCAGCCATCTGTCTCCAATAAAACGTGGCTCAGCATCCCCAGGAACCAGCATGATGATTCTTGGCCCCAAGGTGCCCATCACATGCTTGGTGGGTAAGCAGGTGAATAATGGACAGAAAGACTCCCCAGAGCCCTTCCTGCAACAGGAATACCAGAGGCACTGTGCAAGTCATCACATCTGTCTATAGTTATGAGGCTATCCATTCCCCCACCCCTAGTGGAAAAAGTAGCAAGTTTCCATAGTCCCCTAACACATCCAAGGCACAACAGGTGGAGCCACTGAACTCAAGAACCCTTACCCCTCACTCTTCCCTGGCCACCTGTGGGGCTGGAGGACACTGTGCCAGCCACTACACCAGGAAACAATCTTTGCTGTCCCCAGACTATATGGCCACACACTCTACTCCACAGACACAAGCAAGTGGTACTAACCTAGAGGGATTCCAGTAAGGGCCCTACAGCCCTTCCTATTGCCCTGCCAGGCAACAATACTAGCAGACTTTCCATCTTCTCCACCCAAAGCTGTAAGCTTCTTCAACCCATCTCAACTGGCCATTGGGAGCCCAGCCATGTCCAGCTCACCCCTCTCTCTAGCCTTTCACTCGGGCTCCATACCCCACCTTCCTAACATGATTTTTAACCACCCTGGTAGAGTGCAGGCCACCCTCAGCCAGTACCCAGAGCTTTCCTCCCTGTCGTACCTTCCTTGGTGGAGAGGTGGCCCCGGCTAGACGGCATGCTGCACAGCCGATGCCTGGTGACCTGCATCAGACCCTTTTGGGGAGTCTTCCTTAGAGCGGTGCTACTCTTCCCCCGGAGGGCCTGTCTCCGACGCTGGGTAAGATGGTTTTTGGTGGTGGCGGTAGTTGAGGGACTGTTCTTCTTGTCCACAGGAAGGCTATGAAGATAAAACAGAAAAAAACTGCCAACAGGCTCACTGGGTACCCTCCTCATCTGGAGACAGCACAGGCTGCCATGCTCTCCAAGTAAAGCAGAGAAGAATGGTTGCAGACCCTGCCCCAGCCCTTCTCCAAGCCAGATGAGTCCCCGCACAAGACGAGAGAAAAAGATGACGGAGAAGGACAGCATTCCTGAAAAGGAGCTGCTAGCATGCTTACATGCCATCTCCCCAGCACATCTTCAAGGATACAACTCCCCCCCCCTCCAAAGAAGGGCACCAGTAGGATAAGAACAAATCTATCCTCTAGGCACTGTGAGGATGGGACTCAGGGTCAAATAATTACAAACAGCACATGTCTGGAGCACAGAGCCAGAGGAGTGAGCTTATAGAGAATCAAAGACCAAATTAAGACAGCAGGAAAAACTTCCTCAGGGAGATTCATGGTAAGGAGAGGAAATGTCTTTTGGAAGAACACTGTATAATGGTATAGGTAGACCCTCTGCCCTTTGCCATCAGTGGCTGACCTGAAGCTCCTGACCATTGACCATATACTCTGGGCTATGATGCCATCTTTCAGTCTCCCACAATCACGCAAGGGTAGCGATCTCAGAAGTGATATGCACTCATAAAGCAGTAGCTTGGCCTGGGCTCTTGGCCACCACCAAAGGACCAGCTGGGATGTAAAACCAATCTGCTTCCTCTGGAGTGATGGCTACCTAACACCTCAGCACACTTTACAGGTGGCAACAGAATACAAAGAAGGGAAAGCCTGAGGAATGCAGTGAACCAGTCCCTTTCACTGTCGCTGAATGTAGCAAAATGGTGCATCCTTCTGTCTGGGCTAGGGCACAGTGTCCCAAAATGTCAGACTTCCTGGAACCTGAAGCCCTCAAGTAAAAACAGAGCAGGAAATCCCAGGCACACTTGGCAGAGCCCAGCACCCTAGTCCATCACCCAGTTCAGACACATAACCCACTGTTCTGGCCAGAACAGCCATACAGCATTCACGCACTGCTATACACTGGACATATCCGGGGTTCTGCTCCCCAAGCACATAACCTGGCATGACACCATATGATTCTGAACCCTGCCCACCTAGAAGGGAAACTACCTGAAATGACCTCCTACCGTCTCACCAAAAGAAAAAAGGATGGGTCAGCCAGGATTGCCAGCACCAGAACTCTTGCCTCCCCATCCCTGCTGGGGCCCAAAGCAGGCCCCTGAATCATTCAGTCTTTACCTGACACATCTTTACATAACAGTACTCCCTACTAGAAACATGACCCAAAATCACACACAAAGCTCCGAGCTTAGGTCACACATCAGTGGTGCGGAACAGACCCAGCATGGGCCTTCTTTTTCCCCCAACCTGGAAACCAGGAAGGGAGCACAAACTAAGGTCAAAATTCCCTAATTCAGGAACCAGAAACATTTAATGAGCCCCACCCCGCCCACCTAGACAGAATGCTGCAAGAGGGTGAAATGCACACCTGGTACTGCCCCGCCTCCTGATAATCTTGGTACGGCTCTTCACTTTGTAACCCGAGAGCTGTGTCTCTCCAAAGAGGGGCTTCAAGCTGCTGGATCCCCCTGATGGTCTGCCTCCTGAGGGGGGCCTTGATAGCACTGGGGAGAGCTGAGAAGTACGGTCCTTGCTGCCAGCCTCAGACTGCCAACGGAAAGAGGAAGAGGAGGAAGCAGAGGGGCTGGAAGCCTTCCACTTGTACTTGCTGGGAGAGGGTCCAAGCTTGGATGACGCGGCTAGTTTCTCAGGTCTGGTCTCTGGGTCAACTTTAAACTGTGGCTTCTCTGTCTTCACAGCTGTACCAAAAGGGATCTTGTTCACACTCTCCATAGTTGTTCTGGGACTGAGGGCTCTCCGAGTGACCCGGGGGCTCTTTTCTGAGGCAGCCACCCATTTGTAGTTGTTTTTACGAAACTTGCTGGTTCGTTGCAGTGAGGCCTCCCTGACCTGCCTTGTTCCTGTCGATGGTCTGATAGGAGCAGACGCTGGCTGGTCTGCATGGCCAGCTCTTTGGTCTCCAATGAGCTGCATAGCATAGCTGGCAGAATGGGGGCCTACCTTCCGGCCCAGAGCCACACCAGTGCGTGAGGGTAGGGCAGGCGATGGAAAGTGTGCCTTGACGGCAATTTCACTTTCACTGATGGTCCTCCGATGCTCAGGAGGGCTGTCACTAACCCTGCCCACAGACTTCACCACCCGAGGCTTGCCAGGCTCCTTCTGGCAGACCAGGAGGGGGTCGTCCACGCTGTAACCCGCCTTGGTTCTTCCTGGCCTTGCAGGCTGCAGCTGTCCATCAGAGAGCTCAACCTCACTTCCCTGAGGTCTTTGGTCACTCCAGGAGTGGTCACCATAGTTTTCCAAAGAGCCCCGCTGGACCCCTGAAGCACTGCTGGAGCCCAGCTTTGTGGGTGGCTTGATTTTAATAACCATATTCTGATCTGGACTGAGCTGGACCTGTCTCTCCAGTACGTGCTGCTGGGGGTCAGGACGATGGCTATCCCTAGACCTGAGGGACATCTGCAAAGCATAATCATTGGCTGGGTCAGAGGATTCCAGAGGCTGATTCACAAGGGAGTATTTCTTGCGCCACGAGGGGCCACGGTGTGAGGAGAAACCCCTCCGACTTGGACGAGAGTAGCGAGCACCAAAAGTCCTGCCACTCTGGTAAGCAGGTGGCTGCCACCGAGTAGCTGAGTTGCCCACAGCAGGGCCATTGCCATGGAGGATTTTATAGTCATCAATTAGACCTGCGAAGGCAGAATCACAGGCTCAGTTACCTAGGAGGTGTGAGTAAAAATAGCAACACTCAAGACTACTATCCCTGCCATAATAACAGAACCCATTCTCCTTCCTGAGCCCAGTGCTGACTTGAGAGTACCTCTAAGTGAGTGGAAACCACAGAAAGTTCAGCCCAAAGTCTAGACTTGTCAATTCTGTGAGTGCATCCCCATCAATACTACTTCATTACTATTTTGCCCACTTATCCTGGAAACGGCAGCTTTTGTGGCATGACTGTTTCTATTCACTGGTACCATAGGTCCACAATGTTCTTGAGGGCAAGTGTTACTCCAGATACAAAAAAAGTTAGGGACCAGAAACCATCACGGAAAACCTGTGGTGCCTGGATACGAACAGGACTAGTCCTCCACAGAGACTCCCTGGTTGGCCTACACATGGAAAAGGTGCACCTTAGTAATCTACTCAGAACTGACGCCCTATAACCCTGTACTTGAAAGACAATAGAATACACCCACTGATGATCCACCAGCTAACAGCAGCATCTCCCACAGAAAACACCTGATGCCACCACCACAAGGATTTTCCAATGAAGTGATTCATGGAGTCCTGGAGGAACGCAGGCAGGTTCACTGGGTCTCAAATAACCAACACCCCACCCACAGGGCCTCCCTCAATCCTCACAGAAAGACCACCCCCAGACACCTCAGGTCGGGTGTTAGAGAAACCCAAAAAGAAGCCACAAAGAGGGAGGCTATCTGGACTCTCCTCAGCACAGTCTTTCCGGACCCCTAAGTATTTTCTGTGGAAAAACTTTTGAAACAATGTGAAACCTTATAAAGACCAACTTGGGTCTAAAATTTTAATCTGGGGGAGCTGATGCCTGTTCAGCCCTGAGTTTAGCCTGAATCGAGGGAAAGGCACTCAACGGCAGCGGTAGAGAAACGCTTTGGAGCCGAACGGGCCCGGAGGCCGGCTGACGCAACCACCTGCGGGTAGGCCACCATGCTTCTCCTGCCAGCCCTCTGAGGCCCGGTCCGCTTACTGGTCCCGAAGCCTGGCGGGTCTGTCACCCGTGGGCCGCACCCGACCCGGCCGCTCCGACGCCCACCCAAGCCGACCGTCAGGAGACCGCGACCGACAGCGCCCGCTTCCGAGAGGATCTACGGCGATCACAAGAAACAAATGGACACAAGCCCCAAACGCGGGCCCCTCACCCTGCAGGAGGCGTATCTGCCGCCGCAGCTGCTCTTTTTCCTCCATCTCCGGAGTTCGCGACGCCCAGCCAGGCCCCCGCGACGTCATCACTGCGCGACTGTTTCCCCCGGGCGGGGCCGAGAGAACGCAGGGCTCGACGCGGCCCAGATACGCTGGGATGCACCGTTGCCCCGGCAACCGTGAGGCAGCGCATGCGCAGAATAAGACTGAATCGTCATCCTGAAGCGTCGGAAGTGGGGGCGATGAGGCTTCTACACCTTTCCTGCGCCTTAGTCCGCGTTATTCTGTGGGCTGCTTGAAAGACTTGGAGGCGATGGATTGGAAACAGTTCCCCCGGTACCCAGACATCCATTTTATTTACTCTTTTGAGACGCGGTCTCGCTCCGTATTCCTGGCTGGGGTCGGGGGGAGTGGCTCTGTAGACCAGGCTGGTCTCGAACTCTTAGAAGTTTACTTTCCTCTGCCTCCGGACCTGCAATTAAAGGTATGCCCTTTTAACGCCTTTGCTGCGGCAGCACGAGAACAGCGGAAAAGATTCGGAGGCTGTTTTTCCGAGTGCTAACAGGTGTTAAAACGAGAAAATCCTTGAGCGCGGTTAGTAGGAAGGCCGCAGCCTCGAGAAAACAGTGAAGAAAACTCAGTGCTATAGTTGGCCACGTGATCAAACAATCCCACGTCTAGGTGTATCATCAACGAGTAGAAAACACAGATTCTAACAGACTTGTATGTCATTATTCATTATAACGAACTAGAAAAACCCAAAATACTGTTCACAATGGAAATGGGATATTATGCAGTGTTTTTGTTCGAGACAGGGTCTCACTATATAGCTCTGGTTGTCCTGAATTTTACCATGTAGACTAGGCTGGCCTCGAGATCTGCATTCGTCTGCCCCCCACGTGCAGGGATTAAAAGCTTATGCCACTCCGCCAGGATGTGCATTATATTTTTTGTTGTTTTGTTTTGTTTTGTTTTGTTTTGTTTTGTTTTGTTTTGTTTTGTTTTGTTGAGACAGGGTTTCTCTGTGTAGCCTTGGCTGTCCTGGACCAGGCTGGCCTTGAACTCACAGAGATCGCCCTGCCTCTGCCTAGTGTTGGTATTACAGGCGTGCATCACCATGCCCAGGTGCAGTATTTTTTCTTTGTGGCGCTAAGGCCTCAAGCCTTACAAACTGCTGTATCACTGAGCTGCAGCTACAGTCTATTGTTAAGCCTGAAAAAGAAAATGAAGTTCTAGAGCTGGGCTTGGTAGTGCATGCCTGTAAAACCAGGATTAAGAAGGGGGTAGATAGCCGGGTGGTGGTGGCACAGGCTTTTAATTCCAGCACTCTAGAGACAGAGGCAGGCACTCTGGAGGCAAAGGCAGGGGAATCTGAGTTCGATGCCAGAGCGAGTTCCAGGACAGCCAGGGATACAGGAGAAACCCTGTTTTGAAAAACAACAACACAAAGAGAGAATTTAAAGACAAGTGGCTCCTGCCTTTAATCCCAGCACTCTGGAGGCAGAAGCAGGTGGATCTCTAAGTGCTGGGCCAGCCTAGTCTTTAAAGAAAATTCCAGGCTAATCAGAGTAAGAGGGACTCAAAAAAGGGAGGAGTGGGGGAGAAAAGGAAAAGGAAGGAAGAGAAACATCAGACAAAAGCGGTAAGTCTGAGATTGGGAGAGGAAAATTATTAAAAGGACACAAGAGTTTCTGTTCAGAAGGATGAAAGTGTTTTGGAGACAGTGATGATAGTCACACACATTCTATAATTTCACTAAATTTTATACTTAAGGAAGTAGCCAAAACTACAAGGTTTACATTAGACACAATTTGCTACAATTTAACCAAAAAAAAAAAAAAAAAAAAAGGACACATCAACCTGGTGTGGCTCACATACCTTTAATCCCAGCAATCAGGAAGGCAGAGGCAGGCAGATCATTGTGAGTCTGAAGCCTGGTCTACAAAGCAGGACAGCCAGGGCTACATAGAAAAAACCCTGTCTTGAAAAACCAAAAAGAGAAAAAAAAAATGGACAAATCACTGGACATGGTGACTCAGCGCAGAATCTCAGTACTCAGGAAGTGCAGACTGGAGGATATTTGTGTTGGGTGTGGGCATTGTAGGGACTGTCAAAGAGGTGTATTTGTATGCCAGAATCCTAGCTACTCAGGAGGCTGAAACAGGAAGTACTACAAGGCCTGCTTGAGCACCATAGTAAGGCCCTTTTATTCCTTGTCCACCTCCACCCCAGACAGGGTTTCTCTGTGTATTCTCTGAGAGTTCTGTCCTAGAACTCTCAACTATAGACCAGGCTGGCCTTCAACTCACAGATACCCTCCTACCTCTGCCTCCCAAGTGCTAAGGTGAAAGGCATGGACCACTAGCACCCACATTAAGATGCTGTAACAACAGTAACACACAAACACACAGGTAGGCACTACTTTTTTTTAAACTATTTTATTTATTTATGGGGTTCCTGAAGCCTCTACTCCCTACTAATCCCCCAACCCTAGGTAGGAGGGAAAGGTTAGAAGCAGAAGAGGACATAGGTCTCTTTAGACTTAGTTTCTGCTGATTAGGGTTGTGGAGTTCTTTGGGACAGTACCAGTTTCAGTCATGAGGATATCTAGCAGTCAGCAAACCAGTGAAGCAACAAATGAAGCAGCAGCCTTCTTCCTTCTCAGAGAAGCATTCTCTCTCTGGAATCTAGTGTTTATACCATCTCAGAGTCCTCAGGATTAAACCAACTGCAGCTGGCAAAGACCACGTCCCTCTCTGAGGCAGTTATCATCTGTGGACAAACTAAAAGCAGCCCCATATTTCACTCTTGGGATTAAAACAAAAATATATTTACACAACATAACTGAGTTTTTAAAGAAACCAAAACTTTCACTACACACACAACTCACACACACACACACACACACACACACACACACACACACACTGTGGCAAACAAGACCCTCGCTTTAATAAGTTACAGGGAAGTGGTTTTATACAGGAAGGAACATCAGCATGCTATTTGTTGTAAAACAGTGCAGTTTTGTTTGTTGCTTGGTTTTTTAAGTCTATTTGTGTGTATAGGTGTTTTCCCCTCATATATGTCTTTGCAGCATGTTCATGCCTGGTGCCCCAGGAGGCCAGAAGACTGATGGGCCCTGTGGGAGGAAAATTACAACTGTGAGCTGCCATGTGGGTGCTGGAAATTGAACCCTGGTTCTCTGAGAAAGCAGCTAGTGTTCTTAACCACTGAACTATGTTTGCTGTCCAAGACAGTGGTGTTAAAGCCCTTGACTGTGAGAAACTCCTGCCCTTACTTCCCTACAGGCTGATGTTCCAAATGGCAAAATCTTCAGATTCTTCTGCTAGAGCTCGCTTCCCAAATTACCCAGGATGCAAAGCCTTCTCTAATGAATGTTCTGTAGCTTGAGATTTCTCCCATTTCTGATCATGAGGTCAGTCACATAGCAGAACTCTCAGAGTTCTGAGTTAAGCAAACACAAGCCACCAGCTCTGAGGAGAGAGACACCTTGCTACCTGCTCATCTGTGACTCTGTGGTGAGCTAGAAGCTCACCTCATACCATAATTGAACCATAACAATTTATTTCTTACACATCTACCACAGGCCTTTATAATAAGTAAAATTAAAGGAAATTTCTTCAGGCTGACTGTGGAACTCAGTTCTATAACAATAAAGAACACAGGGAATGGAAAATGTGCTAGTTAAATGTCAACATTTTTCTCAAAAGCAAATAAGTATCTTCAACAAAAAAAAAAAAACAAAATTAAATGTATAAAGGGCCAGATAACCCAGTGGGTACAGGTGCTTACCATCAAACCTAATGATCTCACTTCTACCCCTAGGGTCCACATGGTGGAAGGAGAAAACTGACCTCTTAAAGATGTGCTCTAACCTCCAGGAACACACATTCACAAATAAACAAACACAAGTTCTATAAGTATCCATATGAGCAAAATGTCCACAGCTCCAAGGATTCACATGAACTCTGCTTCTAATGAAACATCTGTTCACACAGGCAAAGGCACAACCTATGGCCTGAGTCCCATCCAATGACAGGTGCTGTGAGGACTTCTGTGATAGAGAGGTCATTGATGGCTCATGCCTTTGGTACTAGCCCTTGGGAGACAGAGGCAGGTGGATCTCTGAGTTCCAGACTAGCCTGGTCCAGGACTTCACAGAGAAACCCTGTTTTGGAAAAAAAAAAAAAAAAAAAAGGAGAAAAAGACTGCAGGTAGAGGTCTGCAAGCAAGACTAAAAGGCCCAGCTTTCCAGATCAGAACAAATAGAGGCCAGGAAGACTAGGCGGAGGATGGCCCACCTAGAGGCTTCAGGAAGCAAGGTAAAGAAGCCACTCCCAAAGGGAACATCTTTATGGAGAGGTTGAATTTATCAGAACCATCTCTGCTTCCTGCTTCCTTCTTCACCCGGTCCTGTCTGTCTACCTCCAAGCCTCCTCACTGTCACGCTCTCAGCTGGACTTTAGAATGTTCTGATTCTTTCCAGTCATTTTCAACCAGATGTACCCAAGGGAGTGGCCAGAGAGACTTGCGTGCCAAGATTGGTGACCTTGGATTGGCCCTGCCCCTCAACACTTAAGAGACTTAGACTTTGGCTAACCCAGAGAAGAGGAAATAGCCCAGGATGTGTGAGAAGGAATCTCCACTTGCAGTCTCTCATTAAGATTTTTTTGATGTGTTTGTATGTTCTTTCTGCATGTGTGTCTATGCATCACACATACAATGCCTAAGGAAGCCGAAAGAAGGCATCAGATCACCCGGACCTCTAGTTGCAGGTGCTTAGGAGCTTCCAGCTGCCATGTGGGTGCTAGGAATCAAACAGAAGTACTCTGCATAAGCAACAAGTGCTCTTAACCTCTGAGTTGTCTCTCTAGACCTCTACCTGAAGTCTTTTTTTTTTTTCCTATTTCTTTTGGTTTTTCTATGTTGTCCTGGAACTCACTCTGTAGACCAAGCTAGTCTGAAACTCAGCGATCCACCTGCCTCCACCTCCCAAGTGCTAGGACCAAAGGCATCTGTTAACACTGCCCGGCTACCTGTAGTCTTCAGAAGCAC